GTCCATACCGTCAATGTCTTCGGAGCCATAGTCAAGCGTGTCAGTTAAGTCCTCGACAGTGGCAATGAAGTGGGTGGTGGGTGGGGAACGAAGTTCTTCGTCGTCCGCTTCCCACTCGAGCCGGACATAGTTCGGCCAAGAGTCACTCGACAAGGAGAGGGACCTCAATGAATTTAATACATCGCCAAAAGGCGAGTGCTGGAAAATGTCCGCGAAGCTGAATTCCAAGACCGGCGTCCAATCAGGTTCGACGGACGTGGTCGCGCGTGGTCTGGAACCCATGGTCGGAGACGAGTCCGGGGTTCCGGTGATACAAGCCCAACTTGATGTTGGGTATGTGTGCGGCTCGAGCGCAGCTGAGTCTGCGGCTTCCGTGGCGGGGTTAAGCTTCCCGTTTTCGGACGACGCGGTCCGCTCCTGCTCTAGGGCCAGGGCGGTCACATGCACTATCTCCTACGCGGGGCCAGATGACAGATCTATGTCATGTTCATCATGGTGGCCGGGGACAGCCGTCATGGGCTCGAACCCGTCGAAGATCAAGTCTCCGCGGATATTGGCCACAAAATTCAGGCTTCCAAATCTGACCTGATGCCCAGGGGCGTAGCTATCGAACTGCTCTAGATGGCCAAGCGAGTCGGCCCGCAGTGCGAAGCCGCCGAATATGAAGATCTGTCCAGGGGGGAAGATCCCCCCTGGACTGTGTTGTTGTAGATGATTAATGGAGCCAGCAAGCCTATCTCCAACGTCACAGCGGAACTCTCAATGAAAGCACCTGTCAAAAACGGCGGATCTCGGGTAGGGGGTTCCGAACTGTGCGTCTAAGGCTAATGGTAATAGCAGGCGGGGGACACAATGTTTACCCGGGTTCGAGCCCTCTCTATGGAGGTAATACCCTACTTCCTGCTTGATTGATCTTAATGAATATGAGTGTTACAAGAGTTGATCTACCACGATATCGTAATGGCTAAACCCTAGAATTCTAGCCTATGAGGTTATGATTCTTGTCCTACGAACTAAACCCTCCAGTTTATATAGACACTGGAGGGGGCTAGGGTTACACAAAGTCGGTTACAAAGAAAGGAATCTACATATCCGAATCGCCAAGCTTGCCTTCCATGCAAAGGAGAGTCCCATCCAAACACGGGACGAATGTCTTCTATCGTGTGTCTTCATAGTCCAACAGTCCGGCCAAAGTATATAGTCCGGCTGTCCGAGGACCCCTTAGTCCAGGACTCCCTCAGCGGCCATGCGTGCGATCTGGTTGCATGCCTCGGGCAGCGTGGGAGACGAAGGGGACGTCTCATAACTCCCCCACTCTCCTGTCATCGCCCCACCCGCACTGTTCCCACCGCTCCCTCTCTGCCTCACCGTCCCTCCCTCTCCTCTCATCCGATGGCTCCGCCTCGCCCACCGTCGCGCCATCTTTTGACCCTTGTCGACCAGCGCATCACCAGCATCCAGGAGCGTTGGCTAGCCGGGCTCCAAAACTCGGGTAGGGACCTTGCATCGGCGCTGCGAGCGCCGTCCCCCATCTGCTGCCGGCCACCACGAGCATCGGCCAATGCGGTGCCAGTCGTGCCTGCTCCGCCGCCGATTTTGGACCTCGTGGTCCTAGGCTCGGCGCCGGCGCCATCCACGGAGCCGCTGCTTCTTGGGACCCCATTGGGCAGGGGGCTTTTCTTGACCCTTGTCCAAGGGTTTTCTCCTGTCGGCGCGCCGTCCTCCTCGACCTCCGACATGGCCATGAGCACGGGGCCGATGCCGCAAGCCGTCGCGAGGTCCGGCTCCTCCTCTGCTCCGCCACCTCTCTCCTTCTCGTCGGGGTTTTCACCCCAGCCTGGGTTCACTGCGACTGCGCGTGCTTCGTTGAGTCAAACCCCCCAATGCTTGCTCATAGATGTAGATTAGAGGTTTATTTTTTGGCATGTGCAAGTACTTAGTGGATTCGATATGATTATATAGGCTTCGAGTAGATACGATTGGATGCGTTCCGATTCGAATCCAATCAGACCGATCTGTTCTTGTTTGCTACAATGTGTGTCCTAGGATAATGTTCCTGTTCATGTTGTTGTTCATGTTGAATGCTCTAGATTGTTATACATGTTCAAGCTAGGTTTATACATGTTCAAGCTACGGTTTGTGTTATACGTGCATGTAGTAGGACCATTTGTAGGATGCTGCCAAATGCGCATGGGTGCACATGGGTGCTATTGATAAGTGGCACTCGCTGTTGCTCTTTTTAGATGTTTCTGTGGCACTTGCTGTTGCTCTTTTTATATGTTTCCATGCTTAGGATGTTTGCTCATGGGCAGTTGTAGAAAACCAGATGGCACTGATCGGTGGCATTTGCTCATGGCAACTACCACTGATCAGTGGCACTTGCTGTTGGGCAAGTCCTCTGATCAGTGCCACTGATCAGTGGCACTTGCCCAACAGCAAGTGCCACTGTCAGTGACATTTTCCCAATAGCAACAACAAGTGCCACTTATCAGTGGCACTTGCTCTTGGGAAAGTCCCCTGATTAGTGCCACTGATCAGCAGCATTTGCCCAACAACAAAGTGCCATTGATAAGTGGCAGTTGGCAAAGAGTTTGTGCGCTGATTAGTGGCATTTGCTCTTGGGCAAATGTCTCTGATCAGTGCCATTTGCTGTAGTGCTAATGCAACTGATCAGTGGCATTTGATTAGTGGCATTTGGCAAAGAGTTTGTGCACTAATACTTGTCATCTTACGTGACAAGATATCGAAGAGTGACTGGGATGTGTCAGTGGAGGAGCTTAGGTGGTGGTCGGAGCTGAGGGCGCCGAGGACTTCATCCCCACGAACAGGTGGCTCAGGACAGTGGACCTGCCTGGCAGGATCGCCTTCATGAGCCTACCTCGTTCAAGGGGACGATCTCCGAGGCAGAGCCACGAGGAGGGGGCCCGGGAGCCGCTGCGCTTCTACCAGCAGATCAAGGACAACGAGGACCTCGCCATGCTCGTCGTCCCTCGCAAGTTCGTGGAGGTGATGAACACCTGGCTGGTCATCAAGCGACTCCTGCGCGTGGTAAGGCTGTCGGCAAACAAGCACTGCGTGTTCTGGGTGCATGTCCAGAACTTCGAGGGGCACATGGTGCTTGGCCCGGCCTGGAACTACTTCTGCTGCCGCCACTGGATCGTCCCCGGCGACCTCGTCGTTGTGCGCATCTCAGGACTCGGACTGAAGGTTCAGATCCACAACCACGACTCCTCGATCATGTGCAGGTTTCGTTGCAGTAGGCACAACTGCGTTGGTGACATTGAGCATGCCATGTAGTTAAGTAAGGTGTTAGTGTTGAACTTTTATGGTGTGTGGCTAGACTTATGGTACTTGTGCTGGGAACTTGTTCATATTTTGGCCAGGAGCAACACCCTGGCGTGGAGCAGGGAAGGAGGATGCCCCTGCTGTTAATCTAGACTTATGTTATGTAGTTAAGTAGTTTGCTGTCATTTCTTTGCTAGCTTTGTTTGATTTCGTTTGGTTGCTTGCTTTGTTTGATCTCATATGTGCTTGCTGTTGTGCTGATCATATGGTGGTAAGGCCACCACATTTGAATGGGGTGAGCAGAACACAAACGCTGTTTGCAACCAAACAGCTGAAGTTTGCATCTGCTCACACCCTAAGCACAGAAAGGCAACCAAACAGCAGGGGGTAAGTGCCCTTCCGTGCGATGCAGGCAACCAAACAGGTTGCATCTGCTGCATATGAGGCTGTATTTCAAGAACCAGGCTGGCTGAAGATGGACATGCAATGCAACTTCTGTTGCAAACTGGAACCAAACACGCCCTAAGATTCATGCTACCCATGCTAAACAAAACAGTAAACACAAACATCCAAACATAACAATTTTGTACAAACGGGCTGGTTGAGGGGAATGAGGCTACATTTTTTTGAGGTGAATGAGGCTACTAACCGCCTCCTTAGGACCTGTTCGGGACGTAGGGAAACTAGAGGAAAAGTACAGGAACATTGTTTTCAGGGAATTTTCCCCTTTAGCACCGTTCGGGACAAAGGAATCGACCCGTCAAGTTCCTGTAGAAAGTTTTTCTATCCTTCATTTTCTAAGGAAAAGCTGCTAAACCATGCAAATTGGAACCCACGTTGAGTTGATATGCGCATGCAAGGACCCACCTACACAGATATTTGGTCAGATATAGCATTTAAAAATTGCCAAATAGGACCCACGTTGGTTGATTTCCTGGGGTTGCTCTTCCTGTATTCCGAACGCCAACTCTGTAGCATGGTACAGCCCCTTTCTATCCTCTGTTTTATACTTCTATTCCTTTCCATTTCCTCTGTTTCTATCCAATCCTTCGGTTTCCTCCTATACATCCCGAACGGGGCCTTAGCTTCTTTGAAGGAAAATCTGCTGGGCCAAGGCCCGTCAAGGGGAAGAGGTTGCACGTGCAATGGTAGGAAGCGGGAAAACGGAAAAGGAGCGCGCCAAAAACCAAAACGGCAGCGCGGCCAAATATCGCGCCTCCTCCCAAAAAAAGAAGGAAAAAAAAGAACCCACGTTGCAAACCCCATCGCGCGGTTCGCTCCAATCCCCGTCCCTCCGCCGCCACAGCGCCTCTCGCCGTTCGCTG